AGAGTTCTGAGATAACTGACTTTAATGCTGACTTTTGTAACACCGAAGATTGCTCATTCTGTAAGGTTTGGGGTGGGGGAGAGAGAAGGGTTCTCTTTGAAGGTGTCTGAGCTGGTTGAAAATTTGAAGAGTTAGGTGTAATCCTTACGAAGCTGGATTGCTAGACAAAGTAAAGGGGAGACTATCGTAAGTGTGAGAGTATGGTACAGGTGTTCTTATTGATCAATTAATCTAAATAAATTAAAAAATAATAATGAAATAACAGATGCAATATGTCACACAAGTATTTCTATGTGACACAGAAGTGCTAGAGAGAGACTAGTTTTTATTTCTTGGTCAAAGTCACCTGATATGGGCCAAGATTATAGAAGATTAATATCCCTGTTCAATGACAGAAGTCAGACTCCTCTGCTTTCAGTGCTTGCTGTTCCAGATATCACCACTGACTATGAGGAAACTAACAGCTAGTCAAATTCCAATAAACTATTTAACAAAGTAGTCAAAAAAAGCAAATAATGTATTAAGCTAGTAGGATTTGGCCAGCTCTAGACTGAATTGAACCTACAAAAATCAATCCAATTAACTACTTATTCAATTATAAGTTTCAAAATTAAGCAATAAAGTATTTGCTGAACAGTATTTTAACAGTCTAATACTGAATATACAATCACATATTGGCCATACACAGTTACACAGGCTTATCTATATACTATTTTTGTCTAGGTGAAGGAAAATTTCCATCTCTCTTTTCTTCCTTTTCAGGAAAATGGAAAGACCATACTTCAGAACACCAAATCACATGCCAGAAGCTAAAGGCAAGACTCGGTTGTATTGCTGTATGCTTAAATCAGATGCCACCAGCTTTGTAAGCAAATCTGAGAAATGTAAAAAATTGAAAATGTAAGTTTTGGGTTCTAATATTTAGTTTCCCAGTTTCTAAGGAGTATGTTTGTCTGCAAGATACTAAGAGGCAAAGAATATTTTTTTGTGTTCATGTCTAGGCTAGGGAACATTCTATTTTAATAACAATTAAATAAGTTTTCTTTTATGTCTGGTTTGCTATCTTCTCTCTCTAAAACGTTAAACCTGTGTTTTGCAGGAGTCATAATCTTGTTCCTCATTTGGAACCCAGCAGTCTCTTTGCTCTATTCCCATCTGGTTTTGCATTTTTGTACTGTCAGTCTATTTTTAATTCTAATATCTTATTTGACTCTGTTGTGTTCTAGAGATTTTAGCACCTCTCTTGACTGAGTCATTTGGTGCTGTATTTCTAAATGTACAATTGCAATATCAAGAGATTTAACTTTTTTTGTCCATTGCTTTTTCTGTTCTGAGGTAAAGGCAATTATTTGCCAAGATAGCTTTTAGGGTTTCTCACAGGATTACCAGTGTTACTTCTACGGAGTTATTAATATACAGGAAGTCTTTTATTTCATCTCTATTAAAATTTGAACTGTGCATTTAGGAATGAGTGGTTAAGTTGTCATGATTTAGTTCATAGTTTTGGGACTGCTGTCAGTGATAGGAAAATAGGTTTGCAAGCTCAGAAAAGATTGTACACACTTAAATGTCTAGTAGGTTTTAATTTAAAGCTGAAAAAGAGGTCTGGTCTGGAGTAAATTGTGTCCACAGTGAAGAAACAAGTATTATCCATGTACTTTCAGCACTGGTGTCTCTCCAAGCATCTGTTAGGCCTTCTTTCATTAGATTAAGTTTGTTGAATCTTTATTTTGTGAATGTGGAGTGGATGATCATCTATTTATTGTAGTATTGGAGGACAATTAAATCTCCTAAATAGATGCAGTTTAGGGAAGATTCTGGTTCCAGCAACTTCTGTTCAGTCTCCTCCTGTGTTTTATCTGCAGTAAGTTTGCAAAATTTTCTTGACAAAAACTGCTGGTTTTTCTGCACAAGTACTATTATGTATAGGCTCCAAGGTACAATGTAACACTTCACTATAAACTATCAGCAATATCTACATATTGTGAAACTGACTTTTGTGTTTTATTCTAGCAAGTTCTAGTTGAACACGACTCTTTTCTTCTACTCCACAAATGCATCTCTTTTATTAATCTCTGATAATAAAGGTTTTTTAATGAATTTAATTATTTTGGTTTTCATGAAAAGTGGGATATAAATAGAACTGGCTAGAATCACACAAATTTGACAAAGCAGTTTGATCTTGATCTGCAAAACACCACACTCCTAGTTTTGTGTATGGTAAGCTGATCCTCTGAGGTACTGATTTTGGAATTCTTACAACCATACAAGCTCAGATATTGCCTGGGCACAGAGAGAGCCACTTATACTGAACTAAGCTAAAAACACCAATTTTATGACATAAGCAAGAGTTGAATCTAGGTTTCCAGGAAGGTAAAACTAGAATAGTAACTCAGAGTCACTGGCACCCTGAAAATTAAGTTTTAATGCTTACTAAAGATCCAAGTATATTATAACTTAAGTTTCTCTTATGTGTACATATGATCTGCAAAAAATTCCAACCACTGAACATGAGATACTGTTTTTCCCTTCCTCAAACTGCTTTATGTTAGCTGTCTTTAATTAAAATCAGCTTTTCCATGTGTTCACAATTGATTCCTTAAAATATTAATAATTTTTCCTACATCTGGTGTCAAAGGCATTACTCTTCAGTCTAAGCCCTTTGACTATTTTTAAATAATTCATTCATCCATTTTCCAGTCCTCAGGGAAGACTGTTCTTTTCTTCTTTTTGCACAATATGATACTTTTTTAAAATATAAGCTATTTTCTCTTCCATTATTCTCTCCTACTTTTGTTTACTCATCCCAAGTATTTGGGTAATTACGGTTTTATTAAGGTGCGCACACAGGACAGAAATATTTGTTTACCATTTATAAATGCCTCCCATCTCTTCAGTAAACTTGCACTAATTAGAAAAAAAAATATTTTGAAACCCCAATGAATGTCATTGAGAAACATTCCAGCAAGTCTCAAGTCAGGACAATCTATCTTAATTACTTTATAATGCTTCCAGGTGGAATCCTATCAGCCTAAAGGAAAAGCAAGAACCAAAAGCACTTCGTTTGGCTGCTGAATCTTTAGCACAGGATGTGGGTTAAGGTTTAACTGAGAGCAGCAGTTCATGTTCTCCCTCAAAAGCTCCTTAGTCACCTGATTGGAGTGCAACCTTGACAAATATGCACAGTGTTGTCTCTCACAGCTGGAATCACCAAAGAGGCTAAAAACAGAACCATGCACTGCATAATCTCTAACCTCAGGGGACAACAAAAACAGAGAATTGCTGTGTCAATCTCATTTCCTTGTTAGGCTCATTATCATAAATGCAGGCCTTTGGTTCTGAATGCCACACTTCAATAACATTTACCTATCAACAGCTGCTGAAATATTGAATTCCACAGTCATCTTTTCCTTTTGATGTTTACTCTTTTGTTTCTTTATCCATAAACATGAGCAACTGAGCTAAGCTTAAATTAACTAGCTGAGGTTAAATGTTTAGGGCAGCAAATTATGGCCAGCCTGCTTGTGGAGTGGTTTATATTACAGGGGAGAGTTGCCAATCTCAGTGCTCATCAGGCACTCCATATGTGTGGAGTAGCAATGGTATTTCAGGGCCAAATCCTGCTTGCCAGAGTTATACCAACAACAGAACTGCTCCCATGTATGAGAGATTTAGCTCTTGCTCAGAAGATGGAAATTAATCATACTTGTTTCTTGAGTATTGTATTGCAACTATAGACAGAGATATTTGGTGACTGATAGCCCATGTCTAAATTGGGCATTTTTTTCATTTACTGACAAATATGCTCCTCACAATATTTTCTAGAAGCGGGAGAGCACACACGGCAGTACTGTGGTTTTATTTCCGGGGTCTCATCTCTTTCATCTGTTTTCGTTTTCTTGATTACAAACTGTCATAATGAAGGCTTTCATACACTGCAGACAGAGGATATTCACCTTACTACTCCAGTTGCACGTTCAAAATCTTCAGGGTTAGAAAAACAATAGAAAGGGGGTTTCAGTTGACTGATAATAGGATCCATAACATTTCATGCCTGGTTCCAGTCCCAAATCATAGTGACATAAAGTCATTATTGAAGGCTGTTTGGCTTATCATACATGAATCGGTAATATTGGCCCTCTTCCTACTGAAACACTCAGGCCATTTCTTAGTTTATAAGATCCTTGTAACAAGAACTGTGTCTTCAGATGTATTCGTACAGTGCCTAACCAAAGTGGGGTTGTAATACAAAGAGAATATAAGAATTAAATAAATAATAATCCAAGGACAGTGATGACACTCAGAGACTCAAGCTAGTAGAATACTGCAGAGACCCTAGTTCCAGCCTGTACAGAAGGCAACAATCCACATACTCAGTGGATGTTATAAGTGTGTCAACCTACTACTCTGATCCCACCCTTGAGTTCCAGTCTGTTTCTGTTGCTAGTTCAAATGGTTGGTCTTCAACTTCAAAATCAGGTCAGCACAGAAGTACCATTGACCATACAAGACCTATAAAAATAACTGTTCCTCTGGAACAATGCAGCTTGCAAAGCCCAGGATAAACACCATGACAGCTGGAGGTCAGTCATTCTTGGTCCAAGGGTATAGGTTGTAGTTGTGTTAGTCTAAGGACTTAAGCAGACCAGGTTCCTTGAGTAAATCTGGTATCTTTTATTAGACCAACTCAAACACTTGGAAAATTCTTCTTTGCAAGCTTTTGGGTAAAAATGCCCTTCATTGAGCTGAGGAAGCATCAGCACTTCATGTGTGGTCTTCCTGGATGGATGGAATGAATAGTAAAGGAGCCAGAGGCTGGTATGCATGCAAGAAAGCCAATCAGTGACTATGTAAAATTGAGGAGTCAGTGGGTAAGAGACAGGTAGGGGGAAGGGGAATGAATATAGCTAGTAAATAGTGGAGAGGTACCTGGGGAGTCAGATGTTAGGCAGGTTATCTGTCATAAATCCAATGTTTATATTTAGTCCATGATTTTTTGCATCAAGTAGGTTGAACCCAGTAGGTTGACCGATTCTTGGTCCAAGGTATGCAGCTGTGAAAGGTGTTTCCTGAGGCAGACAGAACAGAGTCAAAAAACTTTCAATCAAATACAAGACTCTCCTCTTTATGAAGCTTTTTCACCATAACAGAAAAAGAGAAAAGGAAGAAGAGATTAAAATAAAAATGAACCCAGTATCTCCTATGCTACGGAAGGGGGGAAGACTCCATGAAGCTCACCAACGGATCTTACCAGGCAAATGTTCTGAGGGAGCACTTTAACACTCCAGTGATAGGCATTACTGAAAAGCCTAAGATAGATTTAAAAAAAAAAAACAAAAAAAAAAACCTGCACATAAGGCTAGTGTTCCATGATCTTCACTGGCTGCTTGTTGGTATCTGAATGAAGTTTAATATGTTGAGTCAGTCTTTTACTCTGCTTTCTGCAAGTTTTCACAACATCTGATGAAGTGAGCTTCATTTCATGAAAGCTTGTATGATAGATAGATAGATATGCACATCTAGAAATAGACATAGCTACATCTTTATGGTGCAAATCTATCCTGCCTTCTATCCCCATGCCACAATGTCTCAGCATGTCAGAAAAAAAGTCACTCAGAAGAATTCTAGATAAAGAGAGAAGTACTAACAGGACACGCACCCCCTGTAAAGACTCTGGAACTCACTTTCCCTTTCATGCCTAAAAGTCTTCTGGATGTACTTTAGGGGTGTCGGTCTTTCAGAGTATCTGAGAATGAGGTAGGTGTCAGAGTTAAAGCCTCTGGATAATGAAAGTCCTTTTGGTCCATTTTGGCCCATGTATTTGAATTTCATTGCATCTAGATGCTGAGTTTATCTTGTATACTTTAGCTAGTGCATTCTGATGGATGAAAGTTAATATTAATCTATAAAATCAAGTAGCCACTAGCACCAGGTGACACACCTATTTATGAGTTTTAACAAAGACTTGAAAGGGCACTGAGAATGAATGGAGATGGAAACATCTCCCTTATACAGGACTTCTCTCCTGGTCAGAGAAGAGGCACATTCGGGAAGGTGTGGAGTGTCACCAATGGATCCTATTGTCACTAGAACTGATGTCAGCAGATAAAAGAGAACGTGAACTTCATTCCCAAAGGTTGCCAGTCCAGCACCTTTCCAAAGCACTGTGCTACCTGGGACAAAGCAAGGGGGATAGTTCACACAGTAAAAAAAAATAACCAACTCAGAGTAAGGGAAGAGGTGGCAAGCCCTGGTAGTCTGAGCTTGGGCAGAAGGTAGGTCAGGAGTGTTGCTTGTATAACCCAGGCAGTACTTCAAGAGGTACCCCCTCTCCAATTGAAGGGATCAAAGCAGGTGCACAAGCGCTGTGGATGGTGCAAGGACTCTCCTCCCCCTGTAGAGCAGACCCAGACCACCAATGGGGACTTAACCATATACTTTTTAATACTGGGAACATAACAGGCATAAATCAATCAGAGGGTATAGTGGACACTACAATGCCCCAAGGGGACAGGATTCAACAAAGGTTAGACACTTACAATCATTGACAAAAAACAGGGTTAACAGAATATAAAAAACCCAAACAGCAACACAGACAATAGGGTTGGTGAAATATAAAAAGGGCACAAAATGTCAAGTGACAAGGAAATATAGGGCCTTGGTACCTGGAGCGGGAGAAAGTGGGGGGAAAACACAATGGCCCCTTTCCACTGCAAGAAGATTTGTTTCTTATTATCTCATTCACCCCAAGTCACCTCAGCTGGCACTTGAACCCAGAGCTCCCATGTGATAGGTAGGAATGCTGCCACACAGCCACCACTGATGGCACTGCCCCAGCCTGCTAGGGGTCTTGACCTTCCCGGAGCCCCAGCCTCACCTCAAGCTACCTGGCCTCTGATTGGAGGAGCTGCAAACAGAGCTGGGAACCTCTCAGGTCACTGCTCAGATCCTTCCTGGAGTGAGGGGAGCCTCTCCTGCTGGCTGCAGCCACTCGTAGGGGATCCTGGAGCCCAGTGGGGAGCCTCTCCTGCCAGCAGCACAACACGCTGTTGAGGGTCCCACTGCTGCCTGCAGGTCCTGCTCCTTCAGGCTATTCCCAGGCACTGCTCCTGCCCCACTGGCTCAGGTCTGGGAAGCTCCTTCCTTGTTGTCCCTCACTTGTCTCTCTCCTGAGTCAGCCCATGCTATCCCTTTTATGCCCCCCCAGATGACCCAAGGGGCCAATCAGGACGGGGGGAGGTGAGTCTCTGGGGCCTGATTGCTGCAGAAAGGGAATCCCAAGTCCTCCAGTCTTCTTTTGCCCTTTCAAAACCCCTGGGCTAGGTCACTGCCAGCCAGCGGTCACACTTGCTTAGCCCAGCTCAGGCCTTTTTTGAACCAGTCAGCTGCCTGGAAGGTAGGGCAGGGCGGAGACAAAGCAAGCCCTGGTGCAAACCTGCATGGAAGCAGACTGTGAATGAGCTTGCCCCAGACCAGCTCCCCGGGGAGGTCATTCCAGGCAGCAGCGGCCCAGGCGGGACGAGGGAGCCCTCGGGACCCCGTGGAGAGTTAGCCCTGGCGCCACGCAAGGAGCTGGGTGCCCCAGGGGGGACACAGCACGAGGGAGCGAAGCAGGAGACCCAGCGTCCTATGGGGGCGACCGCAGCTGCCACTGGCCGCGCCGCGCCGCCCCGACAGGCGGGGCCGCGGCTCCGGCTCTGAGGCACGACGCGGCCCTCAG